AAATAAAAAAATCCTCACCTCTTTGCTTATTAAATTAAAATGGTGCTAGTAGTAACTTTCTAATATTCTTTGTTATATTGAATAGCCAATGACAGAGTTAACTACTTTATTCAAAACACAAATCTCTGCCCCAAACCATTTCCACTGTATGTGACTGAACAGACAGAACTGTGAGAATACAAGAGGCACCCAGGAAGGAAAGGGGAGAGGGCTTAGCATTAAAGAAGTTTTCTTGCGTGAACCATGCATGTTTTGTACATCACCTATTTTTGTATCCCAGTACTTAATACACAGGCAAAAAGTGTATTCTGGGTGTGAACTGAGAGGCAGGAAACTATACCTTAACAGCAGAATATACAGCTAGCTAGAAAAAGAAGTTTATTTCGTCTGGGTGTTTTTAGAAAGAGACTGGACTTCAAATTGCTCCCATGGCTTTTGTTGGTCCCTCAGGAATAAAATTTTCATAATATTTAAGAGGTAATTTTATCCCTAGAAGACCAGCTGATTTTAAGAATCGGAAAATGCCTACAGAATGACCAAACCAAATAGAGAAAAAATTTCTCTGATACCCAGTACTATTGCCTCACAGGAGATTAAAATCTCAAGGAGGAGTTGTTGAGGCTCAATCTCAGTCTCAACGGCATACGTCTTACTTCTACCACATTTTATAAATCACTATTTTATTTGTTCCTGTCTACTCCTATGGATTAGTAATTCTTATCATGCCTGCAGGTCTACACTCTCATAAAATAATGCAATGTTTTAATTTGTAAATTAGATTAATCACCATACTTTGGAATCATCATTTACCGTAGTGCTTATACTTACCTGTTAAATCGAATTCTTCTAAAACAGGAATCTCTCTGGGTATATCTCTTGTTCAATTTCTTCATGTGGATATAAGGCTCCTTCTTAAGACCACAGGTACCAGCTACGTTTAAGGAGCAAATCCTTTTTTTTTTTTGCACAGAGGTGTATCATAACAGTTGAGCAAAAATGCAGCTGGGGAATACATTCAAAGGTTTTCGAAAGCTTTCAGTTACAGGAAGGCTCATTAACACTCTAGTTGCATTTCTTTTAATTAGCTTATATTGTAGGAAGGCTTGACGGTTAATGAGAAAGTTGCAGGAAAAGTATTTTCTAGATGTCAGTTTTACATGGCTTTTTTCTTTTTTTCAGACATGCTGAGCAGGGTATTTCCTGTGGACAGAGATGTGTACAATGACACATTTGTATCTCAATGTCAATGCATGGGTTCAGTACCTACGATCTCATGGCAGTCAGTGAAGCCTAGACAGCTATTGAGCTGGCCAGATGCAACGTCTTCTTTAGGATGACAGAATTACGCTCTAGGCTTGACAGTACTGACTAGAGCTCCTCTGACTATTATTAAAGGAGCTTAATCCTCATTGCAGACATATAACTGTTTACATTCAGGCATCTTAATTTGCAAGCTGAATCCAACACTACAAATACTTGAACTTAGAAATATATCCTTCTGCTTGGAAGTATTCAGAAAACATCAGCCATAAAACCTAACCTGAACAAGGTGGGGTCTTACTCTGCTCTGGTGAGACCCCACCTGGAGTACTACGTCCAGCTCTGGAGCCCTCAGCACAAGAAAGACATGGACCTGTTGGAGCGGGTCCAGAGGAGGGCCACGAAAATGATCAGGGGGGTGGAACGCCTCTCCTATGAAGAAAAGTTGAGAGAGTTGGGGTTATTCAGCAGGGAGAAGAGAAGGCTTCGGGGAGACCTTATTGTAGCCTATCAGTACTTAAAGGGGGGTTATGAGAAAGATGGGGGCAAACTTTTTAGTCGGGCCTGTTGCAACAGGACAAGGGGGAATGGTTTTAAACTAAAAGAGGGTAGATTTAGACTAGATGTGAGGAACAAATTTTTTACAATGAGGGTAGTGAAACATTGGAACGGGTTGCCCAGAGAAGTGGTAGATGCCCCATCCTTGGAACCATTCAAGGTCAGGTTGGAGAGGGCTCTAAGCAACCTGATGTAGTTGAAGATGTCCCTGCCCACAGCAGGGGCGTTGGACTAGACGACCTTTAAAGGTCCCTTCCAACCCAAACTATTCTATGATTCTATGATTCTATAACAAACAGGTGAGGAAATTCTTAACACAGAAGAGTATTTGGGCAGAATAAGGTAGCACCAGCAACATCCAACACCATGTTGTACACAGACAAGT